AGGAACAGGAATGACTCTCCACCCTGCTCATGCCATGCAAGCACAACTTACTGTCCTTGGCTTTACTAAGCAACTTAATTCCAAAATTAAGATGTATTTCATGCTTCAAAAAGAGGAACATCATCTTTGGCTACCTATCCCAGAGCAGGATAGGTGTGCCCTTCTGTTCCAACAATGATGCTAAAGTTCATTCCCAAACAGTAAATGAACACTACACACCAGACAGTTACAAGAAGTTCAAATTTTAATTCTTTTTCTTTCCAAAACTTTACACCAACCAGAACTGCAAAAGGGATCAAGAGCTCAACTGGGCTATGAGCAGCACTGCTTCCAGCTAACACATGCAATGCTACTGTAAATGCTGTTCAACAGTACCTGATCCCTCTTTTACACGAGTGTGATGATATATAGTTTTACATTATTTCAGATAGTCCTAGGTGTTGATAGTATACGATGGGCAATATTAGAAGAACTTGGTTACTCATTCTGCCCTGAAATATTCTAGTTTTCTACAGAAATAGGGGATAGCCATGAGGATGCTCTGTACTGTATTTTACTACAGATGCAATTGGACAGGTGGTCAGATAATCTCATCTGGGCTTCCTTTCCATGAAGGCTTGGATCAGATGATCTTCTGAGGTCCCTTCCAACCTGGGCTGCTCTATGATTCTGCGAAAAGAGCTGTACAGATACAGCAAGTATGTGAGGCAATGGAGAAGGGCTGAACTGAAGAGACTCTGGAAGATGACAAAAAGAAATGCTGAGGGAAAACTGAGAAACAAAACTATTTAAGACCAAAAACAGAGGACACTTTTCACTGTGAAAGAAGAAATCACAGAATTGGAGACAGAAGTAAGCAACTCACCCATTTATGCAGGCTGTATATATAAATGTATAAATAAATATTTTAAAGTAAAACAAAAGAAGAAAGCTGAACAGAAAATGCAAGATGACTTTTGTTAAGGAACGAGCGAAAACATCTTCAGAAAAAAAAACCTGATTGCTTTTTCCAAAATAAAGTAATGCAGGCTTTAGAATCTGGTCAGGTTTTATTCCATTTGCAAAACTAAGGTGACTACAGCAGAAAGTATTTTCAGCTTCTGTTGTCAGAATGGGTTTTCATTTTCGAGTCATTCACAGAACTGCAGCATACCCACTGACAGCTTACTACGAGCAACCTTGACAAGAAGTAGTAGTAAGCAGCTGAATATATGGAGCAGGCCATTTTCAGTTCTAATGAAAACTGATGACTAAGTTCTGACTCACGAGCCACAAAACCTTTGCACTGGCAAGAGGATACAGACTAATAAGAAGAAATTTAGTAATAACATTTGGTGGAAGATTAGTAAAAAGACAAAACCCAGTCACACACTCATTCAAACTCTTTACTGAAATGTTTGGGTTTTTTTCCGCATGATGCCATATGTGAATGCAAAAGCTTGTAATCCAATTAATCTCTCCTACTTCAGACACTCCAGTGTCTTCCTGGTATGGACTGGTCTCAAATTCTAACCCCATTCCAACACTGATCTTTCAAAACTCCCACTAAAAAACAATCCAGCATTTTACTTTGGTTTTATTCCTTCCCCATCTGCTCTGATATTATGTCAGGGCATTGCAACAAACTTCTGATAGTTACTTTGAAAACAGCAAGGAAATGAAAAGTACTAAGCAGATGTAAGTCACTCTAGTAACAAAATATTACCCAATTTCTTTCAGGCCTCCGAAACCACCAGCCTGGACATTTACCCACAAGCCACTCACCTTCGGATTGTAACTATGGCAAAACACTCCAGAAGTGGAAAGAGCTATTTTGGCACCCAGTCTTATCTAGCAACATGCACAGTTATACAGCAAATAATATTTTGTCAAATCAAGTTGCATCAAGTTGTAACCAAGGTCTCCACCACTCTAAGCCTGGGATCCTGTCACAACCTAAGCAGTTTCACTAACAGAAAACATTTCTGCCATGTGTTTTCACCCAAAGGTCAGCCTAGTATTTTCTGTTTCTTTTAGAAGTAAATTTAATCTTTGTAGCCTCCACATTGCTTGCATCCTTCCAGTATTTGTATGTGCTCAAGCAGTAGTGTAGTTTGTTATAACAAGAATAATAATTACAATGAAGACCGTCACAGAAAAAAAACCAGCCTGTAGCACTTTCATTTCACATGATACAGCTGTCCTGGAGTACAAAGGTACAACAAATTTTCCTGTTTCTACTTAATTCCTCATCTAGGTTCTTCTCAGCTCCATCCTAAAGCACTATTACTCACCAGACTTCATGTTCTTTGGGATATAACATAAGCATTTTCCACTACTCTGACCTGCTATTTCAGCCTGCTGTTTCACTAACCATGAATCTCGCCTTGTTACCCTTTCATTCATATTTTCATTCTTCAAAAGTTGGTAACTTACGCCAACTTCGCACTGTGAAATGTCATTATTTCAGAAGGAGAGCTGTCCATACGTGCAGACAAATTCAGGTACTTATCAATATACACGCTCATGCTTGCCAGAACTTTGCCATGAAGCGCACACAGAAAATACGAGAGGGTTACCTGTGAGATTAGCTGCCATCTCTTCAGCAGTCTGACACAGCCTCAGCCCTTGTTTTAGGGGACCTTCCGAGTCCACGTACTGACGGCGCTTGAGGTAGCAGGACACTGCCATCTGAATCTGTTCTGTGCGTACGCGTTTCATGACCTCCAAAGAAAAGAGAGATGATGAGACTCTTACTGTGCAGCTATACAGCAAGATCAACATACACCACAGCTGCTTTAAGACTGATAGAAGACAAATGGCTCACTATTTTCATTGCTCAAGTCAAACAACTTCATTACTGAAGTATGAAACAAAATGTTTATGTATTTGCCTCTCAGTACTAAGGCATAACTAAGACACTTTGAATCACAGAATCATAGAACCAGATCCCTGAAGATATTTTGCTGCTTAAGTCTACTAATTTCACAGAGGAATCAAAAATACTTCTAAGGATTCTAGACTAAAACTGCAGTGGTGAGCCAAGGCATTTTTTTGCTGTTGTTAAAATTAACTCATAAAAAGGGACATTTCTCCTCCTTGCTTTTTTGTAGTAGTGGTTTGGGTATGCTTCAGTCATTTTCTGGTTCCTCTTGCTTGACCAACCAACAAAACAGTTGCAGAAGAGTCAAGGGAATAAGAAATTAATATACAAAGAAGAAAATTTCAGAATCATAATGCTTTATACAGCACACCTATTTGGGGAGTCCAAGAAGTAAGAGCTTATCACCTGAACTTAAAGGTTAGAGTCAGACTTCTGGCACTTCAACCAGGTAAGTCCCCGGAAAAAGAATAGGGAAATTAAAACAAAAGCAGAGTCTTCTGCCTTTTTCACTTGCCCCATCTATCTCGACTTCTCTCCTAGAGAAGTTTAAAAAACATCCTTTGAAGTTTCCTTTATATAAATTTTGAAAGCCATCCTCACAACCACCACTTGGTAGTATCCCAAAGCCAAAAGGAGCCCTATGCTAGCTTTTAGCCTCTTTATTTTGTAATAAAAGAGCCTCAGTAAGATGAATGCAATAGCTCCCTTGCTATTTGAGTAGCCCCTCTCCGCCACCAATCCTTTGCAACAGCCATTGATTTTACACAGAAGTTTAGATAACCTGAAAGGCTTTACATAAAGCAGAGCTAAGCAAGTTTTATTCTGCCAGAAAGATAGGCAAAGGCTGCCTCAAGGTAGTTCTACACCTTACACCCCTACTACCAATGACCTGCACACGTCTTACAAGCGCACAAGCTTTCTGGTTCGAGTGGCTAAGTCTGCTGAAACACAGCTTCTCAGAGAGACAGTCAAGGATGCCCTTCCCCCTCTTATAAGAGCCGTATTTCTAACCAAATGACAGCTTTAAAAATATGATAATAAATGAGCCTTTTTAATACCCATGCACACTTTAGCGCTTACCCCAGCTGCCAGAACAATAAGCCCTTTGTGAGGTTCCAAGCAGACGGGAGATGCAAGGTTTCAGCAAAAGTTACTTTAAACAGATATGTGGAACTGCAAACCCATATGCTTTGGTGAAAACCTTAAAAAGATTTCGATTTGTTCTCACAGGTGAAATAACTGTTGAGAGTGGGGAGAGGGCAGCAACAGGTGTGGAGTTTTCAAAGCATTTCCAGACAGACCAATTAACATCATGAGTTTCAACCACAGTGTTTTCCATTTCCTTTTCATCTTCCTTGCAATTAAAGAAATTATATCTGAGACTTACACTGTCTCAAATATAACACTTTCTTCTGCTGCACAAAACTGTAGGAAAGACAGAATTCTGATGGGGAACATGAAGAAAGGTGGACAAAGGGATAGACCAGCATTTTAGCACCCTCCCAAAAAAACACCCTTAACCAAGCCTCGCAAGGCGCTGACATTACCATTCTGCATTTCAGCTAGCAGCGTGGACTCATGTAAAAGTGACTTACTCAGGTCCACACTAACGCCTTTGAATCCAGTCTGCCATACAGCTCAAGTTTGGGTAGCACTTCAATTATATTTGAGATGCTCTCATCGATACTTATTTCAGGTCTGAAACAATTTTGGAGAGTTTGCATCCAGATTGGTGTATTTAGCTTATAATCCAAAAGAAACTCACTCCCAAACCAGCATGGAACAGATTCAGCTAAATGTTTCTGAAGTGGTTAAGCCAGTCAAAACTGTGCTAATCAGCCTCAGGTTTGTGGTTCAGTCACGGAAAGAGCATCTAGAAATATCCTTACCCATACTTTTTTGCTTCAGTTACAGGATCAGTTTGCACTAGGTTAGATTTGGTGAGAAAACCCTTATTCATTATGGCACAGCATGCCATATACAGATTATTCCTCATAAACTTGGAATGGATCAGCAAAACTGGTGACTGGTGTGTGACAGATGCAGAACTCCAGAGGACCCTTTGAAATGACAGTGACAAACAGGAGGAGCACTGAGATCAGCCTTCTCAAGCTGCTGAACAAGCAGATGACCAGCAGAGAAAATGGTAAATTTTAAATGACAGGCAAAAAAACCCAGTAGGTTACCCTGAAGACTCACATTCTAACATCAGGATTGGACATTTTAGCAGTAATAAAGAAGGGCCTGGGAAAGGAGCAGTCACTGGCAGCCAGTTCAAATCCAAGCTTCTTCAGAGCTCTGGGGTAACAGGGAAGCCTCCGTTTCTTCAGCCATAAAGAATGCAAGCCTTACAGCCAATCCAAGGTGGCATTTGCAGCTGCTTTATGCAATCTGTACAGTTTCTTGCTCCCTGCACACACTTCGTACACTCCTCCCAGCAGTCACAGCAGTGGTTGCTACAAGCTGTACCTGAAGGAGACCGCCTTCCCTACTCCAAGGTGACAGAACAGGAACTACCTTACAGGAAATGCATCTTCACCCAGAAGCACCCATGGGCAGCAGACACTCTGTCACCCCTACTTTCATTTCAGGTTTTTCTCTCTTCATTGGCTTTACCTTTATACTTCACTCTTGGCAGTACAAAGAGCAATGTCACAGTGGCAGGGAAAAGCATTCATGAAAAGTGCAAGAGCAAAACCAACATTGCTACTAATATTCTTTATCGAGCCCTCAAAATTAGATTACATCATAAAATAAACATGCTTTTAGCCGGGTTCAAGCTGAGCCAGTTCACAACAGGTCAATGATGCAGAATTGAAAGGTAAAAAAGGACAATCCTGCCATTTTAACCTTCAATCAATTTTAAGACTCTAGCTCTCAACACTGAAGATAATCTCCAAAATATGAAACAAACTGAAAGAATATAGTGTTCCCTGTCCATGCCTGCAGAAAGCTTGAAACAACTGTTCAGAAATCCCAGCTGCCTCATTCTTCTCAAACAGCCAGAGAGAACTGTAAATACTAATGGCATTAATCATTTTTACTGATAAGCAAAATACATAAGGAAGAGAAAAGACAGATCACGCCGGGAGTCTGCATGGCTACAATGCTATGTCTTCTGCAGCATCACAAATTGGAGCACAGAAAAAGAAAAAAGATAATAGGTTAATTTTTTTTTTGAGGAACCAAAACCACTGAAGAAACCCAGAGGAGAGGCTGAGCAGACAAAACACATCACAAGTTCCTCTTTCCTAGAAAAGCTGGAAATTAGCTGTATACTCAGCACTGGGCCCAGGAAATTAATTTCCTGCCTATGCTACATCTCAGGTACAGGTTTAGGCAGATTCTGCAGCCTGGAAATATTATGAATGGAGACATACAAAACAGAGCTTGAAAACTAGCATTGGAAATGCTGCTTTTAAACACACTGCGTTTAGGTCCTGATGCTGGGACAGCAGCCTTTTCCTTCCAACAGGCTGAGGAAAGACCTGCGAGTGTCAGAGAAGAACCAAGGACAGACAATCTCAAAAAAACCCCAAACAACAAAACCAACAATAAAACCACCCACAAAACCAATTTTTGAGTATTTTATACTGAGAACTGTGCCTCAGGCCTCAGTTGTGGACACAAAAGTACCGTCTTTTACCCCTTATCACTACAGGTGAAATTTGGAGTCTACCAACAATACTAAATCACCTAATTTTTACTTCTGTGACACTAAGTTAATCTAAGACATAAAAAATTTCAGAATAAACAAGATGAGAATAAACTGATACAAAGATCAGAACCTAGAGCCGAGGGACTGCACGCATGCAGTGGCTGCAGCTCAGAAAAACAGGCAAGTGAACACCACAAGTTGACATGGAGACTCGGTGTGGTGGCGGCGGTGCAAAACAGGGAAAGCGCTGCGGAGATCAGGAACTATGGAAGAGGCTTTTGCCTGAGCAGCGGCGTTCACTCGAGGAGACCGAGATGAAACAGCTGTGATTTCTGAAAAGCTTGCATCCATCTGCGTTGGATCTTGTTATACCTCACCGTCCACGGACCCAATTCCACAATGGTTTGGTTTTTGGTTCCCCCCGTCCCCTTCCTTCACCCGTTTGATTCCCTCCGCGCTCCCTGGGCTGGACACGCCGTGCCCCTGCCCAAACACACCACCTCCCGCCCTCAGCCTCCAGCACCTTA